TCTCATAAGGTATAAGAGGGGTCAACAGATTAATTTCCAGAGTCTAGGTTTTGTTTACAATCTGAATGGTTAGCACAAGAAGCAAGAGAAAGGTCTTTTCCCTCTGTTGCTCCAGGATTTCAAGATCTCGTAAGATTCCATTTAATCTGGTGGGACTTTGGCCTCTTCTCAGGCTTTGCCTTGATTCTATAAGAAAATGGAGCTAAATATCTTTTTAAAAATATTTTATTTATTCATTTTTAGAGAAAGGGGAAGGGAAGGAGAAAGAATGGGAGAGAAACATCAATGTGTGGTTGCCTCTCATGTTTCCCCTACTGGGGACCTGGCCTGCAACCCAGGCATGTGCCCTGACTGGGAATTGAACCAGTGACCCTTTGCTTCACAGGCCTGTGCTCAATCCACTGAGCTACACCAGCCAGGGCTTGGAGCTAAATATCTTGAAAACAGACAAATGCTTCCCTTGAACATTAGGCTTTGAGACCCCCTGTGCTCCCCAGCACCTCTGCTTCCCGTCAGTCCCAAGACTGAATCTCCCAGCCCCAGGAGCCCTGCAGGAGCTGGTGGCAATTGCTGAGTTACTCGGCAATGCCTCTTCATACCTTGTTATAATTATTGCCCTTTAGCACCGCTGCCATTACCACGTTCATAAGGATGGACCCGGGGATCGGACAGGAGGTAACTTTCCAGTCGGGCTCACCCTTGATAACTATTATCGTAAAGACACTTAGTGGCAAACGAGAGTCAAGTATTATAAATATGGCACCTGAAATGATTCTAACTTTAAAATCACTAATGCCACACCTGTCCTCCATAGAGGTGGAAAATTAAGATTTTATTTCATTTAGAAAGATCTGAACTAACCTCTACTTCTTGACTGAGACATCTAGAAGCCAAGCTGTGGGACATAAAATTTTGATTTAAGGTCAAAATGGCAAATTTTAACTCCCCACTCCTTTGAAGAACTGCACACAGTCCATTTTTCAAAGCTGTGGCCCACCATCCCATGGAAGCAGCGGGGATACCTAGCGGGGACAGCCTGCCAGGAACATCGATCTGTAAGAATGAGACCTCCTAGCCTGTGGACTGGAGTTCCATGAAATTTAAAGGAAAAGATTTCATAGTCATAATAAAGTATCCAAACCACTGGTTTGCAAGCAATGAATTGTGGTTACCTTTATTATCTGGAAGCATACTGAATGTCTCAACTGGGAAGATCAAGGAATAGAAGATATGAACTGTCAACAAGGCCTAAAAAGTATATCTGTATGTACCAGATCCACATTTCCCCCCAGATTCTTAAAGATACATGTTCGACTGTGCTGAAAAGAGATGAAGAGAAATGACTGTAGGAAGTGCTAACAGGTAGCATTTGAAGGACTCACTCCAAAGGACAGACAGGGTTTTGAGAAGTTGCCTGTTCATAGATGGCTGGTAGAGCTGGGTGGTGGCAACATAAACATCAAGAATTAAATTTCAAGACCTACAGGTCATCTCATCCAATTTTACATGAGTTGTTAAAAGTGGCAGAAAATGTTTTCAAAATACCATCTGCCAAAAAAAAAAAAGACCAAGTCTAAGTCACACTGTTGGCAGCCAGTGGGTTAACATGGTAAAAACCTCACTCACCAGCTGACTCGAAATTTCATTAACTACCCCCTCCCCAAAGATTTCTTGGCAAAATCCTGAAAAATTAGCTATATCAGTATCTAGGATCCCCACACAAGACAACGCCTCGAGGCCATTTCTTCACAGCCCTCATAATGGATGGGCCAGGTGGTGTCATAGTCCCCCAGAAGACAAAAGAATGAACCCCGAGAAAAAGATACTATAAAAGATGGTATACAAAAGCAAGTAGAAAGAGACTACTAAATGAGAGCCAAGGAATGCAAGGGCACCCACGACCCATAGGCTGGTAGACTTGGAGACTTAAAAAGAAATTGCGAGATTTACTGAAATCCCCAGTGGGCTGCACAGCATGTCTTGGACCTGAACTCATAAAACACGTGCAAAAACGATAGATGATACTGACCAGATGATATTCAAGCCCACTGGAGAAGTGCAACACAGCCAACATCCATCACTCATTCGGAGCAGACAGCTGCAGAGAAGCAAGGGCAGGTGAAAACCATGCAGGGGGCCTTCAGCCCACACCCACTGTTTGGTGCATGTGTTTGGAAAGTCCAGTTTAAAGGCCAAGGACAGATGTGAGAGCAGATTTTGGTGAGCGACAGGGAGGACATGGATGGGGCTGTTGGCCTTTTCCTTTGTTGTGGACTGGTCTTGCTGTCTCAAGCATCTGTAGTTCAGTTCCAAAAATAGCTACATATTCCCCTGCCATGCTTCCCCCTGATGACAGGCACTTTGATGAATTTTGTTAACTTCTTTACCCAGATGCAGAGCATTCTTAAGTAGGCCTCTCCTGGTGGCAGTTGTTTCTGTGGAGAGATATTAATTCCCTGGGAGCACACTGTGGAAGAAGGGGGGCAGCAGAGGAAAAGCAATCTCTTCCTTCAGCCTTCTGAAAGATTTACAAGGGGAGGGGCCTGCATGGAGTCACCCCAGAGGCTACAACTCTTTGTCTCTGCAGCATCTGTCCGATTCATGAATGCCCAGGAACACCTGGTTCCACCGCAGCCTGGAAGTAAAGCACACACTGGACAGCCCATTTCTTGGGGTAGCAGGCCATCTTTCTGTAATCCTTCTCCAAGAGCAATCTCCTCCTCTGCATGTCCATTCCCATTAATGGCATGGATAAATAAGGAAGAAAGAGCCAAATATGTTATGCAGCACTTCAGTGGGCCTCACAAGAGCAATTTCTCAGAGAAGCCTGAGAGGGTCTTTGAAGATAGTGAGAGACAAGGAGGATCCTTTGTAGTAATACTTTCTTGTGGGTCTGGGCTGTTACACAGCTGAGGCCAGAGGTATTTGTGGTGAACTCTTTTGCCTTAGTACTGCTGAAAGGAGCAAAGTGAATTGGAAAGTACTGGGTTTGGAGGTGGGTGGTGGGAAGGCCAAGTAAAAACAGATACACTTATAGCTTATTGTGAAATAGATAAACTTTAATATTCATATTTAATTAATTTATTTTTTATTTTAATTTTTGTTCAACTACAGTTTTCTATTTAGTTTAAACTCATCAAATAATAAAAGAGTTTAGCTTCAAAAAATAATTGGATGACACTGCTAAAACCCAAATCAGAGAAAACATGTTTTCTCAATTTAAAAAATTCCTGTGTGTATTAGGGAGGGGAGGAGATGTTGAATAAATCAAGTGAAATTTTAATTTTAAAAGCAATCAACATTTCAAGAGCTGTCTTCATGTCTGTGGTCAGAGGACCCAGTACCAGCCTGACCACAGCTCATTAGGGAGGTGAAGCCCACCACTGGCCGAACTGCCCCACCTCGTGCCCAAGGAACACTCTGAGATCATTAACTCTGTTCAGTACGCTTCTTCTAAAGTGAATAAAGGAAAGCAACCATTTCCTCTTCTTTTCTTTTAAACCCCAACCCTGAATATTTCCAGTGGTAAACACAGGAACACTCATGCTGTGTGATGCATCCAAGAAACACCAGGATGACAAGAAGCAAAATGTCATATCACACTGGGTGGTGGATCCTCATGTTCCACATCCAAGTTACTGGTAAAAGAAATGACTTACTAAGTCAGAATGTAAACTGAAGACACTTCTTCCCAAAGAAAAACTGGGGACTTTGAGGAGTTGCATGAACTCTTTCCAGCCACTGAAGATGACATATTTAAACAGTCACCTGGAAGAATTAATGCATCTTCTGAAAGCACTTCACTGCTTTCCATGGACTCTAACATATGCCCTGAGAACCTACTTCCTATGATTGGATGCAACTCACCTTTGAGCACTATTATGAGCCAGATCAAATGCTTCTCATTTAATCCTAGCAAATCTACCAAGTATTAACCAACCCCCACTGTGTAGATGAGTGAATGAAGCTGAAATGGATTAGGTTGGTTCAAAGTCATGGAATAGTAACAAAAGAAGCAAGTTCTTTGATTGAAAATCCCACATCAAATCTTCAACTTCATGCTAGATTCCCAGACTATTAAACAGCCAAACAAAACTCAGAACTTGCAAGCACCAGCTTTAGAGTAAGATGCATCTGAGTTAAAATTGCATAGTTACTAGCTCTACGAGGTGCACACCCATTCCCATGGGAGGGAATATTTCTGAAGAACCAGTGAATCGACACTCAAGCGGTGGGAGCTGTTCCTTGTCTCTTGCCCTTTGAACCTCCATGTTCAGGGCAGGATGGGTTCAAAGGGCAGGATGGGTTGATGCCATTACCTCACTTCAGGAATGGGCACATAGCCCCAGCCTGGCTTTCTACTGAAGCTTCTGTGAAAAAGAAGCTTCTGGAAATCTTGATTGCCTTCCTTACCACTGCATAGAGATAGTCTTTCTGAGAGTGCCCGCCAACAAAGGAAAATAGAAAATGAGAGAGGTGAGAGGTTCCTCATATCATCTCAGCCCATGGAGGCGACCATGCCTAAAGCTAGAACCCCTAAACTTCCAAGTTAAATGAACCAACCAGAGCTGTCATACAGGGCTGTTTGAACTGACTTTCCACCACTGCCGGCTAAGGGCACTGAAAAATGCAAGTCCACCTAATACAAGTATATGAAGTGTATTTCTGTACCACAACCTCCCAGGCATAATGAAACTAGAAGACTAGATCCTCTCAGGATCTTTATGACAGTGAAAAAAGAGTTGGAGAACTCTTACCAAACAGAAGGGTGCTTTTCTGGAAAAAGAGACACTGAGGATGTCTGCAGCCTGCAGACTCCATCTTTGGGTAATAAGATGGCCCTAGGAACCCATCTAGGTCATTGGTGACAATAATGAGGCAGCTGCAGGCCTTCGTATCTGCCACGCAGAAGCTGTGCAGCATATGAAACTATCCATGTGTTCTTCATCCTCACTGAGGCCTGAGAGCCAACAAGGAATAATGGGCTTCACTAAACCTACCTGAAGCACTGGAGACCCGGGACACATCCTGGGACTGAGTGGAGCGATTGCGACTCTGCTGTCTGCGCCTACCAGTGGCCGACCTCGTGGTGCGCACATGGACCTCACTCACTTTGAAGAAGGCCACCATGAAAGGCTGCTTGTCATAAGGGCCATCTCTGCCCACCAGGCCTGCAGCTCGGGGGTTGATGTTGAGTCCTTGAATGCAAACCAAAGCACACCCCTCTTTATTCCACAGAAACTTAGTCCAGCAGCTACACAACTGATCTTCCCCAGCCTCCCAGAGTCTAGTCATAAAGGATGAATGCAAGGGGCAAGCACGTGCATCCTCTGATCTCTGATGGCTCCCTCTGGATGGACAAAACCAAAACACTCCTTCCAAAGGTCCATGAATCAAAGCAAGGAGTGGGAACGCCCTGGCTCTCCCATTTCTGTTAGTCTTTTTTTCTCCCTATTCAATCTTTCTTTCTGATTATACTCACCCCAACCAGTGAGGTGACTTCACAGGCAGAGCATGTTCAGTGTGAGGACCCATGAGGGGACCTCAATCCACTGAGCTTTGATGCTGCAGGATGGGGGGTGCTGAAAGGTCCGCTCACAAACCTACTGAACAGTCAGGATTAGACTGTGCTCCCACCTTTCTCTTCATCTTAACATCATCTACCTGCCTCTGCTTCTGAATGCTGTCCTCCCACTGTTCCTCTCGGAACTGTGACCACCTAACCAGCTCCTAGTCCTCCCAGGGAAAGGTTTTGCTTTTCAATAGCAACTATAAGGGAACAGCAAATAAAGTCATCCTGAGCCCAGGACTTGACTGTAAACCTCGGCTCTCCCACAACTGTTGTAAAGGATATGAATGACAGCGACTGTTTGCTTGATTTTGGCAAACTTACCATCCCGAGTCACCACGCTCAGCTGGAGCCCCATGTTGTGCTGTGGGGTCACGACCCATAGATTGCTAGTGGCCGTGATGTCAAATTCCAGCCAGCCTTCTTCTGAGGCCCACACTATGCGGGTGTCCAACAGAAATAGGTCAGAGTCTCTGAAAGAAAAAAAAGATGGTGCTGTGAGTAGCATGCTACCCCCTTGGCTCATTCTCATCCTGTCCTGCCTTGCTGTCCAATAAAAGAAGCCAAAGTCAGATCAGGTCCACCACAAAGCACTGTGTACAGTGACCTGCAGCAGCTCTGGTGGGCATGACACCACATAGGTCACGTGTATAACACAACTTGGAGAGAAATGAATACATGCCACGGCCCTTCAGAGAAATCAGCTTTCTCCTGAACAGAGGAAGATCCCTCAGCTGCAACAAAAGCCTTGCTGTAATGCTTATACCAGATCTTCTTTGGAATTAGGGTAAATGATACATAGACAGGTAGGCAGATGGACAGATAGAGTCACACTGCTGCTTCCTTTATGGCTAATGAACTCTAAAAAGAGAGAAAGTAGGAAAAGAATTAAGAAAATACTAGAATCAGGATCAATATGGGCACTGACGAAGTTGTGCTTTGCTCATTTTTGTTTTTAAAATTAGGGCCTGATAATCTTCACACGTTACTTCCTGTGAAATTAGGAGAAACAAGAAGCCGTATCATATTTCTGAGTGATCATCAGGTCTTTTATTTTAATTAAGACATTTCAATGGTCTATGGTGAGTGTCAAGTCCTTTCTCGTTTGGACTGTGTAATGTGGTGGGTGTATGTTGAGTGATGTTAAAGTTCAAACCACACAGCTGTTGAGGTTCTTTGAGGCAAACTAGTTAAGTCTATTCCTTCCATTGGGCTCCACAGGGAATATTTTTATATTTTTTATGATTCTCAACTAACATAACCCTAAGGGTTATGGGAAGATGGAATGAGGGTTTCTTCCTGATCACCCAAATGTCACGGTGGAGCAGTGTTAGGGGACGGTCACCTTCATGTGTTGCAAGGACACTCTGAATCTGAACTGACGTCCCAGGGTCAGTGGCATGAAATGGCCTGGAATGCCCATGACAGGGAAGGGTGTGCTTTGACCATGGAAAGATTCAAATCCCTGGTGCTGGAAATATTTTGCTGAAATATTTTACTGGATAGAAAAACTTAGTGCAACTAAATATAAAATTTAAGATGAGCTTCTTGATACAAATGAAGTACATTTAAACAAGTTATAAAACCCTCCCATATACTTTGCTTTCTTCAGTCCTTAGAACAATCCTGAAAGCTTGATAGAACATCATTATCCCCATTTTATAGTTGGGGAAACTGAGACTCAGATGTGAGGTTAAGGTCATGTGGCCAAGATCAAATAGGTAGAGAAAAGAAAGTGGATTCAGAGTTTTCCATAATCATATATTACCTTTTGAGATCATTATGAAAGACAATATGTGACAAATGAATGCAATTTATCTCCGTTCTTTTGAATTTGTGAGGACAGTGAAACATCTGAGTTAAGAATTTTAGATTTCTCAGAAGGGAAACAATTTTTCCTGTTTACATGGCTTAAAGTTAGAAGAAAACTCTATTGTCATTTTTTCCAAGCTTAAAACAGTAGGAACAGCTAAAAGAAGTTTACTCAGCTGCTGAGCAGAGTCTGCAGGGGGCACATTCAGACCTGCCATCTTTAAAGCATACTTCAACATGCATGTGTCACCCCCCCTGGTGACAAATCAGCCCTCCCCATCACTAAGGTAACTGTGAGCAGGGAGACGGGGTGTCCATGGAAAACAGCAAGAGGGGAGTGCAAGTCCAAGGCTTTGAAGTTAAGATGCAAGAAGACATAAATTCTCTTCTGGAAGGTCAGAGAAGACCCTTATCCAGCAATAACACAGACATCATGCACAGCACTGTGGGAAATGTAGCCCTGGCTCTGATGGAAGTGCAAGAAATATTCACATCAGAGCAGCACCCTCTAGAATGAAGACACAGTGAGAAATCCAGGGAGTGAGGCTGGCCCTGAGGTGAAGAGGATCAGCATAGGGCTCTAGTGCCATGGGTCACTTGTTGCTATTTATAGAACTTTGATGATACTCATAATTTTTAACATCTTGTAACAAAGATGGATAAAAATACAGTCCAACATATGAGTGGGGCACATTTGGGAGAAAGAGCCAGAACAAAGATTTTGTTGTTATTTTTTAAATTACATTTGATTGAATATGCTATTACAGTTATCTCAATTTTTTCTCCCCTTTAATCCCCTCTGACCTGCATTCCCCATCTCACTAGCATTCCCCCCACCCTTAGTTCATGTCCATGGGTCATATATATAAGTTCTTTGGCTTCTCCATTTCTTATACTATTCTTAACCTCCCCCCCATATGTTTGTACCTATATAGGTACATATATAGGTACAAATATAGGTACAAATATATGTTTTCCCTGCACCTTTTCCCCCATCTCCTTCCTCCCACTCCCCACTGATAACCCTCCATGTGATCTCCATTTCTGTGATTCTGTTTCTGTCCTAGTTGTTTGCTTAGTTTTTGTTTTTTTAGTTCAGTTTTTGATAGTTGTGAGTTTGTTGTCATTTTACTGTTGATAGTTTTGATCATCTTTTTCTTGGATAGGTCCCTTTAACATTTCATGTAATAAGGGCTGGGTGATGATGAACTCCTTTAATTTGACCTTACCTGGGAAGCACTATATCTGCCCTTCCATTCTAAATAATAGGTTTGCTGGATAGAGTCATCTTGGATGTAGGTCCTTGCCTTTCATGAATTTGAATACTTCTTTCCTGCCCCTTCCTGCCTGTAAGGTTTCTTCTGAGAAATCAGCTGATAGTTTTATAGGAACTCCTTTGTAGGTAACTGTCTCCTTTCTTCTTGGTGCTTTTAAGATTCTCTCCATATCTTTAATCTTGGGTAATGTAATTATGATGTGCCTTGGTGTGTGCTTCTTGGGGTCCAACTTCTTAGTTGGACTTAGTTGGATGCTTAGGGACTCTCTGAGCATCCTGGACTTCCTGGAAGTCTATTTCCTTTGCCAGATTAGGAAAGTTCTCCTTCATTATTTGTTCAAACAAGTTTTCAATTTCTTGCTCCTCCTCTTCTCCTTCTGGTACCCCTATGTTTTGGATGTTGGAACATTTAAAGTTGTCCCAGAGATTCCTAAGTCTCTTCGTTTTTTTTGAACTCTTGTTTCTTCATTCTGTTCTGGTTGAATGTTTATTTCTTTCTTCTGCTCCAAAGCATTGATTTGAGCCCCAGTTTCCTTCCATTCACTGTTGTTCCTTTCATATTTTTTTCTATTTTACTTTGCAGAGCCTTCACTTTTTCCTCTGCTTTGCAACCATACTCACCCATTTCTGTGAGCATTCTGATTACCAGTGTTTTGAATTCTTCATCTGAGAGGTTGGCTATCTCTTCATTGCTTAGTCCTATTTTTGGAGCATTGATCTGTTCTTTCATTTGGGCCATATTTCTTTGTCTTGGTGTGCCTATTACATTGTAAGAGATGGAGCCCTAGGTATTCACCAGGGTGGGGCAACCTGTGTTGCTTACTTGTGGCACTGTATGTGGGGGAGGGGTCAGAAAGGGAAAAATGCTGCTTTCTCGGCTCTTGGCCAGCTTTCAGTCACCTCCCCTGCTACTCACAACTAAATTGGGCCCTTTTAGTGCTGATTCCTAGGTGGATGGGATTCTGTATGTTCTAGTACCCTGTGGGTCTCTCCAACAAACTTTCTTGTGAGACTGAGAATTTCTCTCTCTGCTGCAACACTACAAGTTTTTACAGCCAGAGATTTTGAGGCTTTCTTTCCCCATGCTGGAACCCTGGTGTGTGTCCTCTCTCTCTCTCTCCAGTTGTTCCTCCCAGTTTATCTGCATGCAAATATGAGGACTGCCAACTACCACTTTGCCCACTCAGTCTTCCAGCTGCTACCTTGCCACATGTCCTTTCTGTCCCTCCTACCGGTCTGGGTGAATATTTCTTCCATAACTCCTTAGTTGTCAGACTTCCAGACATTTCAATTTTCTGGCAGTTCTGATGGTTTTTTGTTGTTGTTGTTGTTGTTTATTTTTATATTTGTCATTATCCTTCTTTTGGTTCTGCGAGGAGGCAAAGTGTATCTACCAATGCTGCCATCTTGGCCAGAAGTCAGTGTGCCAGAAGAGTGTTGATAAGAAGGATTAATAATCATGATGTGGAAGAAATGAAATCTTCAGTTTTAGTGGGCATCAGTAGACATGGGGAGCCCATGTTTCTATCTTGACTCTGCTCCTAAGTCAGGCTGGGCCCCTGGGAATTCCTTTCTCTGCCACACTTTCCTGTATAATAAGGAAAATGCCAGGCCTCACTGCTCAAACAGCCTGCAGGCTACATGAACCCAGTCTAACGGTGAGTGTAGAAAGATTAAAAACTTGGGCTCCTGGCAGCCAGGCAGTCTCAAATTTAGAAGTTTAATTATAGGATGCTCAGGTTCTGTAGAAGGAAAGTGAGGTGGAGGATGCACTTAAAATAACTGCACTAAATGGAGAGAGAAACAACAAATATTTGCTGTGTGCTTTCAATACATGGGCACATGTCCAGAGCCTCTCTTTTACTCCTTAGGAAGCCTGAAGAAGTAAGTCCTACAGCTGATAGCATGGAGCCTGGAGAGAATAAGTGTATTACAGTCTCAGGTACTAAATGGGCTGATTAGAACTCAAAATCAGAGCCTGTACTCTTAGCCACCACCTATATGAAAAAACAGTCTAGATCACAGGTTGAAAGGCTGAGCAAGAGCTCAGACTAAGGTAAGGGATCAAAATCTACTGCACATAAATGCCAATGTCAAGTGGCTACAGAAAATGGATGAAGATTCCTGGGGCTGGTACAGGACCCCAAATCAGGAGCAGGTGCTCATATCAGGGTCTGGAGAGGAAGGGGTGATAGGTGCATGCAGAGATGGACTGCCCACTCTTGCATTATCCCTCATCCTAGGCACAATGGTCTGTCTAGACCGAGACCACCATTGGCATGCAGTCACACACCCAATGTGAAGAACTTGAAGAATTACAGTTTTGAGGAACAGCTTTGCTCGCTGACCCCCAATGCCTCCAATAACTCAAGTGTTTGAGAGACA